CAAATTTAAGAAATAATATGAGAAAGTATAAATGCTGTTTGTAGTTAATTGTTTTGCATCTGATTTGAGATATGAAGTCAGTTTATTTGAAAACTTTATTTCTTTCCGAAGATTCATTAGAATAATTATAAAAGCAATTTGTTTGCGAGTGCACTCTTTTCGAGCGGTTTCTCGCCAGTGAGGCAGCGGCGGCGGCGGTGGCGGGTGGCGTCGATTGCGGCGGGGGCGGGGGCGGGGGCGGGTGGCGTGGCGCCGAGCGTCGCGTCGCGTCGGATGGCCGCCTCCAGCAAAAACGACCGCACGTCGGGTGTTTACCACGCCTCGACAGCGGTGTAAACTGATGCTAGCGTCTACGGCGCTCGCCGCTCCGCCCCCGCCGCGCCGCGCCGCTCCGGTCCTCGTCTTCAGCCCGGCTCAGCTTCGCGCCGCTGCTCCCCGCTCCTACCCCGCTCACCGCTTCTTTACTCCGGCCGCGCCGGTCCTTGGCCCGCTGGCTCAGCTGTCTGCCCGTCGCCTTATTTCCGCATTTCGTCGCGGGCGCCGTAGCTCGCGGATCTCTTTACGTCCTGCTCTCGCGTCGGCCCTTCGAACGCACCTTTTGCTCTTCAACTAGAGGAACTGCACGCGCACTATTCCTGCGTTTGTAACTTTTTTAATTCTCGCTGCGTTTTTCGTGGAATTGCTCTACATTTTTCATTTACTCCTTTTTATTTCTCTATTTCGTTATTTTCCGTCGCTTATCTTCTTTCATTGGTCCTTGTTGTTTTTATATCTATTTTGTTCTCTGGCTTGGCTTAGCTGTTCGTCATCTACTTAACGTAATCGTCGCATGCGAATAGTTATCGACACGCTCTTGCGTTCTCCAACTCGCATCTTTTTCTCTTCCCTAAAGCTGGCTTTCACGCACAATTCCCATTTACCTACCACTTCTATTCCGTTTTAATCCGCCTGAACTTAGTTGGCTACTTTTTTCCGAATCCTTCTAATTCCCCATTTTTATCTCTTTCCTTTTTGGATTTCTTATGGTGTCGCTCTCTTTTTCCTAATGTTTTGGATGTCTGGCATTAATTATTTCGGACTACTCATCGAGGATCTTTACCCTTCGTTTTGCGTTCTCATCGCACCCTTTCTATTTTAATTTTCCACGTGCTATTTCGGCGATCAGACGTTTCACCGCGTACCCGATCTTTTTACCTGTGATCTCCACTCGAATCCTTTCTAAATAATTTAGTACCTCTTTCTAATCGCCTTTTTTGTTTTGTCCTAGTTTCTCTCTCTTTGTTTTGGAGCGGCTTAGATTGTCTCTTTGCGTCATCTTGTTTTCCGTGTGGTCGTATCTCTCGGAATCGTATTCGGTCGTTCGCATCCTGAGCTCACATCTTCTCCTTCACTGCCCTCTTGAGGTCTTCGTAGGGAGTCGTTCTACTTGTTCTCTCTTCTGCACCCGATTAATTCATGTTGTAATTTATTCCTGCGCATTTATTGTTGAATAGGATGTCTTAACCTCATCCACAGTCATCTTATTTACTCTCTCTCTTCTTCTCTCTCTCTCCTCTCTCTCTCTCTCTCTCCTCGCTCCTCCCCTCCTCTCCTATCTTCTTCGTGCAATCTTGTTCTCGCTCTCCTAAGCAAATTTTTGGCTTCGTTTTACGTAATCCTCGTTGTTAGGCATGTATTGTCTGATCTCCCCGTGCTTTTTATAGTAATATAGCTTCTCTATTTTTTTCGACTAATGGGCTTTTTTCCCTTGGTCACCGCTTTACTCCGCCAATTTTGTTTTCATTGTTCCGTTTTTCCAGTCTCCGTTCCATAGCTTTACTCTTTGAAGTGGTCGGCGAGTTGAATTTGGGAATACTTTCAAGTTCAGTGCATCGTATTCCTTGTGCCTTCGGTCCAATATTAGTTTTGTGATATCTCTCGTGTAGTACCTGTGTATAACACTCTCCACGGGCGCGATTTTCTGAAACTCCCGCTCAGAATTGTTTCTCGTGTTCCAGCTGTTTTATATTCTTTGGCCTTCTGCCTCGAACCGACGCTTCGACTTGCGTCTGACTGCGGCGACTGTGCCTCTCGAAATGTTCAACGTCAGAGAGGTGCAGAGATTTCACACCTGTGATCGGTGTCGGCTGGTCTGTGCTCCAAGAGGGGCTAGCCAGGGTTAGCGCAGGACACGAGGGCAGAGTCCCCACTGTTATCTCGGTCCGCTTACTTGATGTTTGTGTAGATGTAATCTATAATGTGATGCGGAAAGCCGAGATACGCTTACGCAGTAGTGTCGTGGCGATTAGATTGAAGATCGCGATTCGAATCCCACCTCGGGCATGGATGTATTTGTAATCGTCCTTCCCTTCATTATCATCTAATCGCTTCATTAAGAGAAGCATTAATATTCCTGCGCGAGCAGGAGGCCTTGCCTTATGGATGTGCAGTTGGATTAATTTACGAAGTATAGAGTCTAGTCGTATAGTGTGTGTTGTAAATAAATTCTCTGTATTTTATTCTTTCGCCTGTAATTGTCCAATAGGTCATGATGCACAGCTGCTTTATTTATCTTGATGATGTGGTTGTTTTTGGCCAATTGGAAGATGCTGCCTTACTGATCTGAGGGTTTAGTGATTTAGCATATCATCTGCAATTATTTATGTTTGTTTTCTTTCGTGACATCCGCCTTTCTCACTTCGCCGTATTTATTTTTGTTCTTCCAGGAATGATCCTGTCACCATATAAATCATCTAGTTATGGTTTTTACTATGTTTTTGTTCTCGTAGACATAAGCAAACTTGCATCCTATCTAACTTATGTCTGCCATGTTCGAGAGATGAATAGAATTTATTTTGTATTTCTCTTTTTAAGATTTTTTATTTTCACTTTTGTTTAAGTTGTTGTAAATTTAATTCTTTTGTTTATCTGTTAATCTAGGTTAAAAATATGCAAAATAGCAAAGTTTATTTCAGAGTGTTTTAGACGAGGTCGTATTAGACAATGTAAAACTATCACACATTTAGGTACATTAAAAAAAATTGTAGCTAAGTGATTTCATGTAAGTTTTGGTGGTTTTTGGACAGATTTCGTAAAGTGCCACAATACATTGAAATCCTAATTATTGAGAAGACCTGCATTATCTTCTAACATTTGCGTTGAAATCATTCATACATTTAAAGTGCAACCTTTATGTCCAGTTTAATTATATCCCTTTAAAAAGGAAAAGAAAATGCTTGAAACGATTCAGGAAATGTGATTATTTTTAACTCCCGAAAATCTTTACTTGAGACTCGTCTTGAAATTAATGGAAATATCTGTTGATTTATTTTTTTTCTTTCACTATTGAATACCTTAATTTTATGCGAGGTCTTTGGATCACGAAGAGTCAGTGATTTATTTCCTTACGAAAAAAAAGTTTCAAATGTTATGAATGTGGCAATTGCGTAGCGGAATGCATCCAACTATGCCGACAGACTCGGGGGGGGGGAAGGGGCTTATGCAGCAGCCTCTTCGTTTTTTGCTCCACTTCCTCAGTGGTACTGGCCCGAGCAACACAAGCGAACGGCGAGCCTCTCGCGACCCTTTACCCGGTCTTCAACATTGTCCTCACAATTCAGTTCCGCCCACATATGTTTTCTTCTCTTCGTCCCTGCAAAGCGCACTTTCCCTCTCGTTTCCTCACGTGCTCTCCCCTGAATTCTTTGCGCCTCGTGGGCCGCGTTTCACATACATGCACAGAACCCCTCACCGTAGCTCGCCGTGATGCCGCCACCCATGTCTCCCAGCACTACCTCCAACCTCGCTGCCACACTACTGCGCCTCTCCGCCCCACCTCCACCTCCACCTGCCCATCCGCTGTGCCTGCTTTCACCTGCGTCGGCGCAGTCAGTTTCGCCGCGCCTCCCTCTCACATACGGCTCTCTCACCTGCTTCTACTCCTACGCGTCTCCCGTGTCTTCGTCCCATGCCTTAACCAACGGTCTCTCTGCCTCATTTCTCCCCGCGTTGGCCTTCGCCGCATCTTGCTCACTCTGTCGACTCCAACTCTCTCCGCCCTGTCTCCACTCGCTTCACCGTCCCCTAGCTCTGCTTCACTGCGTCTCGCCGTCAACTTCGCCGCCGCCCTCTCCACACGCCTCCACCTCCACCTGCTCCACCTCGAGCGTCGTCCTCGCCGTGCCCCGCCCCTCCTTAAAAAAACGTTTTATCCTCCTGCCTTCAACTAACTGCCCCGCCTTCGCCTCCACATATCCTTTGCTCTTCCCTGTCCCCTCCGCCATCCGCCGCCCGCGCTCCGCCGCCACACGCTCCGCACCCGCCCCTCGCGCCCCGCCCTCCGCCGCCCGCCTCCGCCGCCCGGCGCCTGCCGCCGACTCGCTCCGCCGCCCCGCCTCCGCGCCCGCCTCCGCCGCCCCGCCTCCGCGCCCGCTCCGCGCCCCGCCTCCGCCGCCCGCTCCGCCGTCTCTGGGGGCGCATTCATTTTCACGCGGCGTCGAAGCGCTCCGACGCCTCCTGGGCCCCTTGCTCCCTTCTCCGCCCACTCATCCTCCTCCTCCCCTTCCCTTGTTCCCGGTCCCTCTTCGTCGCACTCTTTGTCGGCCCTTCCCGAGCGCTGGGCTGCGCGATTGTCGCCCAATATCCGGATTACTCTCTCGGGTATGATGGGCTGTGGGCTGGGATTGGCGCTGGAATAACCCGGCGTCTCTTCTCGGCGGCGCGCGCGGGTCGCACGATTAATGGGTGTCGCAAGACTCCGCTACATTTACATACGTGCGTTGTGTCAACATTCTTTTTTGTCGTTAACTCGGTCTAGGGAGGAAGTAAGAGTATTAAGAAGCATGTTAACGAAAAGAGTTGTATTATTGCTTTTTGTTTGTAATCGTACTACTTGCAAGCTTTTTCTGATGTCGTTTTTTGTTGATCAAGGAAGCTATTTCTGAGTACGCATGTGTGGTGTGGGTAGTGATATATCTTGGTTACAGTGTAACCTAACGGTGCGAATGTAAGCTTTTGGCGGGTCATGGCAAAGAGGCTTGGCCGTTGAGGTACAACATAGATGTAAGTTTGAGCATGTAGTCTAACATTAAAATGCAATACAAATATTGTGTATGACTGATAAAACACGCATGTTATTTAAAATATTTGAATGCAACAATAAGCATTGTTCCGATAAACCAATGTCAGAAGGTAAAAGCTTTAACGGCGAGAAAAAAGTAATTTTTGAATGGTTTACATCATGATCTATAAACCATAGCTGTTACTGTCTCTTCAGAACTTGCAAGAGTTTTGCGTTCTCTGTTGAGGCTGCAATTATGATGGGGCCGCACTAGAAATTTTGCGCTGAGTATAAATGATGGAAGCTAGACGCAAATATTTTAGCGCAAAGTGTCAAAGGGAAAAAGGGCAGAGGAAAATCTGTATTGTTAACGGAAGTTTCGAACATGATTTGTATTCATGTAAAGTGTGTAGACATAAAGTTTCTTTCAGTGAGCGATGCTAGACGCCCACACACAAGCGTGCAAATGGAAAGGGAATTGGAATTTTTTGAGGCATATGTATTTTGGATTCAGAGAACAGAGCGCATTGCCAACGTCGATCTGTAACATAAGTTCGTAACTATTGAAACAGCATATCAAAAATCATAAGTTTGCGTAGCTATGTAATTGGAGCATTATGTCATCTTAAGGAAGTAAATTTAACGGAAGTTGCAAAAATATCATTATTAATTATAATAAGATAAAGAACATAATTAAATGTGCATATTGACCGCATATTGCCACGTCCTTCTGGAACTTTCGTGAATTTGTTTACAACTTTTGCAAAATGGTTTTTTTTTGAGAAATGCATAATGAAGTGGTACTCGCATTCTAAAATTGCCATTGTGTGATGAGTAATTTCACAATATAATTCATTTAAATTGTGATTGAAGTTGAAAGTTCTTTTTAGTATTAAAGTATTATTCGGTACAAACATAAGAGGAATAGGTTAATAAAGGGTGTTCATTTCTAACGCAGGGTAATAATAATATATAACGAATTCGATTTAAAAACCCTTCATTGCTTTAGGTTACCTGTACAATGTTTCTTAGTCGCTTGGTATGTATCCGTACAAAAGGAGCTGTTAATTATTGACAAAATAACAGTAATGTAATAAGTAAGTTTTAACGTCTGTTGTAGTGGAATGGTTGTCTACACCTATTTTCTATATTTATTGTGAACAATCGGCAGTAGGTACGAATAGACGATGGCAAAAGAGGTCATGATTTGTTTCATTGGCAACGGACAAATATTTGGTACTCTCATTTCAGGGGCAGAATATGTTTCAAAGTCCTCGAGTGGAATCAAGGCAAGGGTCGGCAGTTTCAGCGTGGTGTGTCAGGTTTCCTACGAAGCGCAATTAGAGCTTCGCGCATTGAGGGTGGGTAATGCACACTGTAATGCCCAGGGCAGTGTGGTTGAAAAGGAAAAAAAAAAGATTTTCCAAACAGATTTTTTGCAGGCGGTCGTGCTTACAAATTCCGCTCTGAAAAAACTTGTGCTATCATTCTGGAATTCTAACTCACCGATAAAATAAAATACAAGAAATATTTGCGCGAGATGAAGAGTCGCAATATAACAATCGAAAGATTCACGAAGTTTGTGTTTCGAGTTTTTTCTACTATGTCTAATCTTCGGTCGCGGATCACCGAGATGATCTTTCATACACGTCGTCAGGTTGATAACAGGCACCTTTAGCGTTATCCACGGTTTTAAAGCGACAACCAACTGAGCTTTTGCGAGTTTTTGATATGATTAAGTGGATGGGATAATAAAAGACAATGAAAAAAATCGGAAAAATGTAAAGGAGAAAATAACGCTTAATTTTGGAACCCTTTCTCTCAAAGGAATATTTTTCCCAGTCACACAATAAAAACGCTGCTTTCGGTGTTGTTGACATCCTCATGTGCTTTTTGTTTGCCGCCAGAACAGAATGCGACGCGTCGCTAGATTAATTGAATCGGTGATTTGAAAAAGGAAATAAAGTCTTGCGCATTGTTTAAAAAAACCTAATAACATATACTGTTTGCATATGGTACATTTCCGTTCTAATACTCGAAAACTGTAGAATTAGTCGTTATGGAAATGCTTGGGCTACTCCTCAACTTCAATTTTAATGTTATTGTGACGGACAGAACTGTTTTATACATGGACTCATTTGTTTGCAACATAATTTGAAATATCGTCAAAGTCGCCGTCAAAGTCGCCGTCAAAGTCGCCGTCTTTACACCGACGCACTGCTTTTCAGCAAATAATACGACGCTCCTACAGCTGCGTCGTGCCGCAGAACCTCACATCGGCCCGCCCCTTCAAGCCGAGAGTTGACTCAGACGCTTCTCGGAGAGCAGACAGCTTTATTGCACTCTCTTTCTCTCACTCTTGAGCAGAAAAGGCGGCATATATTTATTAACAATTCCTGGAAAAGTAACTTCCTGCTTTGGCAGCCAGGCTGTGGAACGTGGAGAACTTTGTGAAATTTCATTATATCACGTCGCCTGCTTGTGAAAGGAGGTATTGTTAATTGAAAGTCATCTGTATATATTAGTGGTAGTTGTTCGTTTTAGTTGTGTTTGCAAGAGTTTCCTTCTTGAAACGGGTTCAAATATTTAATATTTGGTAATATTAAAATTAATGTGCAGAGGTGTTCTTTTCCGTCAATATATTACAGAAGTAGCATAGTGTTGTTACCCGTGTTTCCAACAACTAGAAGCATTGCAAAAGCATTTTAGTAAAGCACACTCAGAGTCAAATGCAGCCAATAGGTAGGTAAGGAGAGGGACAGAGAGAGAGAGAGAGTGAGAGAGAGTGAGAGAGAGAGTGAGAGAGAGTGAGAGAGAGAGTGAGAGAGAGTGAGAGAGAGAGTGAGAGAGAGAGTGAGAGAGTGAGTGAGAGAGTGAGAGAGAGAGTGAGAGAGAGAGTGAGAGAGAGAGAGAGAGTGAGAGTAAGAAAGAGCTACGAGATTAGCATGTGTGCAAATTGGTAATACTAATGTTAATACTATTAATGAATTCCAAAATCACGCGCCTTTGATTAGTGTTATCAAGACATTGCAAGTTACTTTCACACTGCTGTTTCTTTTTGCATTATCTCACGCTCGGTCAGCGAATCTCCGGCAATGTTTAATTACATGTATATATTCGCTTTAATATGTCCGGTAGTTTCGAATATGTTTGACATTCAACTATTATAAACAAAAAGATGTGTCGATATTTGAGGAATTTTCTAGTCAACATTAAGACGTACGATGAGACTAGTCATCATTAAGACGCACTTAAAAAGAAGTTTGACTACTAGTTTTTTAAGATGCTTTTTCAGGTTTTTTATTAAGAAAATAAAAAGAATGGCGAACTTGTGAAATATTAGAGAACCTATTAGAGAACCTTAGAGAAAGTATTAATTCAGTCAGCAATAAATGAAGTCATACATTTTCAGCCTTACTATACTTTTTTTAAGTTTATGCCGAATCATGACAAACGTTTTCGAGAAAATCCATGAAAAAATTGAGATGGTGTAATTGATAGTTAATAATATTTTAAATTACAACCATAATGATACATTAAGACATTTTTATATGTTGTTCTTAGGAACCATACACTTTCACATCAATAAAATCACGTGAATTACTTGGATATTCACTTAATGGATATTTCAAACTAACAAATTGTTTAGGAAAAAACCGAGCACAGTCTCTCAAAACAAATTGTTTAAACCCTTGTGCTCTCAACAGCGTACCCTTTCATTAGAAAGCAAATAAGAGAAAGCATTCCATTAAAAGATTCTAAGAGCACAAACTTGAGGTAAATAAACAAAGAAATTAAATCAAGCATAAAAGGGTAGGTGAAAGGAACGAAGCGAGCAACGGAAACGAGGATTTAGCTGGAAATATTCATAGCTGTTGTTCTTTTCTCCTCTCTATTCTTTTTATGCTGGCAGAAGCGTCCTCTGAACTGTTTAGGGCCGCTTCTTCATAAAAAGTGATGAACACAACGTGACTTCGGTCCTTTTTAGACCGGACGGGGTAACTATAATTTCTTATATAGTTTCTTATTTAATGACCATCGGGTATTTAATTAAAACTGAGCACGCATGAAAATGTATAATTTCATCATATTATCAGGACAGTATCACCAGATGTTTGTCGCAGAAACAAGAATAGTTTTATTTTACTATAAGCAATAAATATTCAATAAATATGAAAATAATAACAATGCGACTAAACAGGGAATGATGAAACTAAGTACTGAGAATATATAAGAAACCTTTTATTATAAACACAAAACCTAAAAGTTACCAATTAGGAATATATAAAAGCAAAAGCTAAATTCAAAATCATTTAATGATTTTTGAAATTCTGAAACTGAAGTTTATAAAACAAGCCTGACAATGCTCTGTATGTTTCATCACATTTTTCGAAAAACTATCTCTCTAAGCTACAAGAATTTATTTCCTTTACCGAGTAAACATGCAACATCAGATCTTACAACGTCATCTCCTCTGAAAGCGAATACGTCAACAAAGCGAAGAAGCATCCAAACACGCGAAAAGAAACTTTAAGCAGGGAACCGTCCCGGAACGAGTGTCGTTCTGAAGCGAAATCCGACAAAATCCCACGCCCTTATTCCCAGCGGCCTCCGATCACCCGCCGCGTCATTACAGCCCGGCACAGTGCACGAGCGACTGGTCGAGAGCGGGTCTGTCTCAACTCCCTACGGGCCCTCGGCTCCGCGAATAACGTACCTCCCCCTCTCGCCCTCAACCTCTCCCCGTCGCCCGCCGCTTTTTTTCTTCCGTTTTATTATCGCTCCAGATGAAGCGGTTTATATCGCCCGCGTTCCGCAGGGGGCTTTGAGCCTCCGCGCCCGCGGGAACACCTCCACGAATGAGAGGAAGGGAAAGGGTGGTGGACTGGTTTATGGGTAAGGAGGATGTCGAGAAAGTAGGTTGAAAAGTTGGCTGGTGAGAAGGGAGTCGGGGGTTAAGCTGGTAGGATAGTGACGATATCTGACGGGTAGATTAGTGAGGAGTGTGTCTGCCGGGTAGA